GAGGCAGGCGGCCGAGGGCGGCGACGGGGGCGCGCGGGAGACGGAACGCGCCGCAGACGCCGGGAAGGGTGGCAGCTCCGCGCATCCGGCCGCTGGGGATGCTCCGCGCAGAGGGCGGCCGTCCTCCCCGCAGAGCGCTTCTGCAGCCCCGAATTCCCCTTTCCGGAACGAAACGAACAATACCGTTTCTGCAAACTCAGAGCGGTGCTCCTGGCCCCTGTCTGTAAACTGCGCTGGGTTCTGCACCCATAAGTCCCAAATGACACTTGGACTGGTTGGTCTTTTTATGCGCTTTTAACACCTGCCCCCAAAAGGTGACCGCCCCCCCCTCCCCATTAACCCCGACTGGTCTTACATCTCCAGTGGGGGAAATCTTCGCTCCTGTGTGCACGGCTGGCCCATTCCTGACCCGGCATCAGTAGAATTTGTCCCAACAGCTTTAATAGCATCAAGAGCGAACACAGTAGTGTCATTTGACCCACACAACAGACCTGAAATATGTCTCTGTTATTATCAACCTTAAGACAGGAGGCAGGGTTATCTTGGTTGTAAAATAAGATAGAATATAATGCATTTGGGATAATGTCTGGCACCTACTAAGTGATCAATAAATGTTAACTCATTATCCCCAATTTATAGATAAGAAAACAGAGGCGCTGAGATTTGCTTATGGCTCCAGACACAGTATGTGTCAGGGCAGAGGCAAGCCCAGGCAGGCAGTCTAACTCCTAGCAGGAACCCTGAAACACCTCAGCAGAAGGGGACCCACAATGAACCAATTTGTGGTTTTGTGAATGACTCATTATTCTGTCTCAGACTTTCTGCCAGAGGTCTGTGAAGTCCTGTGGTGGTTTGGAAATACATCCGCAGATTCTTTGGTGCACCTCTCATCAGGAGCTGGGGCCTGTCCCCTCCCCTGGAAACCGAGTGGGCCTTTGAGACTGTCTTGACTTGTGAGGCCAGGTTAGAAAAGTCAGTGCAGATTCCATGTGGCTCTCATTTGAGACACAGGCCTCTGAAGTCCAGAACTGCCTTGAAAGAAGTCTGGCCACCCTGAAGCTGCTGAGCTGGAGAGACCAGGTGTAAAGACAGAAAGAGATGCCCAAGGAGCCTCAGCTGTTTGAGCCTTCCCAGCCCAGTAGCTAGATGAGTGAATGAGTCTTGAGAGGCTGCTAGCCGTAGACTCTGCAACTGCATGAAAGACCCTGAGCAAAAATTGCCCAGCTGAGCCCACCCAACCCCCAAAGATTCGATGATAAACAAAGGATCATTCTTTTAAGCCACTAAGTTTTGAGGTGTTTGGTCATGCAGCAGTAGATAACTGCAACATGTCCGTATGTCTTGGGACTGTCTGCCAGGTCATCAAGAAGGTTTCTCTGCCCTGTTGTCTCCTCTCTCCACCCCATCCACTCATTCCTACTTTAGTTCTTTGCCATCCTGCAAGTTCTCAGTATTTCAGGACACTTATAGGATGTCATCTTAGAAAAACTTTGTCAGTATACCCAATATTTGCTTAATAGATGCTACTAGCAGCACAAACATTCCTGTCTATAATAGAAGGACCTTTGACCAAGTTCCTAAAAATAAATAAATATTTTAAACCTTATTTTTCTAATTTTTCATAGAATAAAATTTTTATTATTGTCTGAGCATATAGCCAGACAGGTGTTGTTATCCCTCAAATCCTCCTAGAGCATCAGTGGTTGGGTGGGGGAGTAGGAAGAAAGAAAAAAAGCATTTTTCTAAGTACAGCATGAATGGAGGGCCTGGAAACCCAAGGGATTTTCCAGGATTTGAGTAGATCTCTTCATAACCACTCTCCATATACAGAAAGTGGAGTGTAAACCTCAACCGATTATATCTCAAAGCAAAGAATGCTTTTCTCCTGAGAGAATACGTGCGTGACGGCTCTGGAGGTTTAAATATAAACCATCTTGAATTAAGTCTGAACACACAAAAAGTGGATCTTGACAAATTTCCTAAACAACATTTGCTCATGCTTGGGTAACTCAGAAATGGCTGAACAGATAGGTTAAACCTTCCAGAAAAGAATTTGCTTCTGAGTTGATATGAAGCATATGAAATTTCAGCTGAAAAGGTTACCAGGGGAGGGAGAAATTTGTAAGACATTGAAAATAGAGATGCCGTACGCATATAAAGATGATAAATGGAAAGTAGGAGCTTGAAATGAGAATAATACCCATGGCCATAAATCTAACGGTACTGGTTATATCATAATTTCAAAGGTTTTATGTATTGATATAAAATTAGCTCATAGCTAAACATTGTTGTCCTTACCCCCCTGTTTTTCCTTCTCAGATTCCTCTTGGTTATAATAACACTTCATATTTATGTAATACATTTCAAAATACACTGTATGCATTACAAGACATACTGTCCTATTGGTCTGAAGTTACCAGTTAAAACAATCACAGCGTTGTGCGCACTTGATGATCGGGTGCTTGCCCCTCTAAATTGTGTTTACCTGAACGAGGCCCACGTGCTAGAATTGGAGGAGGCCACCTCTGGTCCCCTCTGTCCACTTTGCTCTCTCTCGGTGTTTTTATGAGCTCAGCTGAGATCCCACATCCTCAAGAAGGCTTTCTTCACCTTGCCAGGTCACACTGATGTTCCAGAGCTCTCAGCTTGAAGCACACATTTTGAGAGCAGAATGACATAATAATGGTGATTTGCCCCCCTTCCAGTATCCATTATTTATTATTAATTGAGGTTATTTCTCTCACTGAGAGAAAACAGTGAGGTAGAATTGAGTAAGCTCGACTAACTTCTGTTGAGCCATTATTGTAAATCAGTAAATACTGATTTAAATGTTTAAATATTTTGCTTTACTTAATACTATCTAGTGGGGGAAGGTATTTATCATTCCTATTTATGGGATGGGGAGTGGCAAGCGAGGGAAACAAATCTGAAAAGTTTAGAGTAATGCACCAAGTACAGAGTTGGAAATTAAACTCGTATCAACCTGTTGGGCCTATTTGGTTCACATTTACTTCATATTGCCTTAATATCTGGCCAGTGCTGTTCATATTAGGCATTACACTCTTTGAGAAACACTGAAAAGTGGTAACCATGATAAACTTTATATTATGTTTGTTACTTATATATTTATAATCATAAGAAATCATCATGAGCTTTTATAATCTGTCCTAGGTTGGGTTGTCTGGGAAGCAGACTCCAAGAGTTTCATATGCAGGATGCTTCTAGGGAGTGCCCTTAGTGCTCAACATGTGTGTGTGGGGGGGGGAGGTGCAGGTAGCCGGAAAGGATAGAAGTCCTGCTGTGACACAGGCCCTTGAGCACACTTGTGTAGCCCATCTCACAAAAGCTCTGGAGCTAAAATGGCCTGTATTAGTTCCCTATTACTGTTGGAACAAATGATCACAAACTTAGTGGGTTAAAACAATCCACATGTATTATCTTACAGTCCCGGAGGTCAGAAATCAGGAATGAGTCTCACTGAGCTAAAATCCATGTTTCAGCAGGACCATGTTCCTTCTGGCAGGTCTAGCTGAGAATCCACTTGCTTGCCTTTTCCAGCTTCTAGAAATTGTCTGCACTCCTTGACTCTTGGCTTCATCTTCTGTCTTCAAAGCCAGCCAAACAGCATTTTCAAAATCTCACTGACTTGTTGCCTTTATCTGCCTCCCTCTTATGCTTTAAAGGAACCCCATGATTCTACTGAGCCCACTCAGATAAAGCAGGATAATCTCTTTATTTTCAGTTTAGTTGATTAGCAACCATAATTTTTTATGTTACCTTAATTCCCCCTTGCCATTTAACATAACATATTCAAAGGTTTCAGGGATTATGATGTAGATATCTGTAGGCAGGGCCATTATTCCGCTACCACATAGTCCATCAGATTGTCCTGTACTGAAATGAAATGGCTAGGCCTTTATACCTCTGCCTCAGTCAGTTGTTGGATGTAGAACAATACCCCACTGGATCCACAACCCAGGAAGGTTGTGACCTTGGCAAGGTGACTCTCTCTAATAGAGTCAATTACTGATGCCCTGACAGCTGAAGGTTGTCTTCTGACAGCATCCTTAGAAGCTGGGCAACAAGTTCTCTCTTGAAGGGAAAACTGGGTGATGCATCTTCATGTTCATCACAGAGCACTCCTTGGATTGGATTCACTTCTTCATATATATTTGGAGAGCATCTCCTCCTGGATTCTGATGGGCCTCTTTTTCTGGGGTAACCTCAGAAGAGGAAAATGGTAATGCCCAGCGCTGCAGCATATCCTAGGGTCCCAAATGCTACTCATTGTCTCCTTCCTCCATGAGCAAGTCTAGGCGCCCCCTCTTGCTTCGAGAGCTGGCCTAGGCTGTTTCCTTGGTGGCACAACCTAGATCCTCATCTCCAATTGCTGCACTTGTTCATTTATAATTATAACTGGACAAGAGAGTACAAAGAGGTGTCCAAGTAAATCACCTGTGTGCTAAAAATATTCCTTTTGCTCCTGTTATATAACTGTAGCTCCTGACTTTTGATGATTAGGGTAAATTGCCTCAGTCACTATAGCGACTTCTTCTTGCTTGCTTATGTCTGCATTCTCCTGGTGAA